CCATTATAAAAGAAATTTAGCAAGGACAGTGCGACGTGACCTAAGGAAAAAAGAGCTCCCATGACGGGAAACAAAAATGTAAGTTAAGTGAAATCGCGTTTCCGATCCAAGTTAAATTAAACTCAAAATTTTACTGGTTACTGATTTTGATGAAGGATGAGAGTCACTTTTTCGTTATTAAAGGGTGCTAAATTATAATGATATAATAAATTTTGAACAGTCTTTGACAGATCTGGGTAGTGGTGGAGTGGTTAAGTGGTAAGTGGAAGCCCGGGTTCGATTCTCGGTTAATTGGTGTTGATCGAGATCGCACCTGAAGGCTCAGCTTTTCCTTTACCTCATCAATAGTTTTTTTTTTCTTGACACTTGTACATCGAGTTTCCAGACAATTTCAAATAGGTTCTGATTTCTCCTGACATTGTTTGATTGTTTGTGTAACCATTTGATTACTTCTGAAAAGAGCAAAACGAAGACACAGAAGGTGTGGCTGAGTCACTGATTCATTTTGTTTGGAGCATATAGACCGCAAAGTGCGTTTCCGGCATACAAAAAAAGCGAAAAAAAAAATAAAATCAAACTAGCTAGCAGTAGATATATCGTATTTTCCAACCAAGCTGAAATAAACCAAGTGAAAACAGATAGGACTAAGATTTCCACACAGCCTGATACATGATTATGCATGCAGTAATCTCATACTGTTCATCAGAAACAGTTTAGTATATGAAAAGAGTCGACACATGTATCCAATATATAAAAATTGATAGGACTTTACGGAAATCTTTCACAGTTCAGGATAGGTCTACTGTCACTCTTTATTGTGAAAATCAGTGTATAAATTTACAATTTTATAGTGAAAATTTTCAGAGTGGCATGTAGTCAGCGTCGTAGTGTAGTGGTAAGGGAGATAGCGCGGTAGGTGAGCCCGGGTTCGATTCTCGGATACACATTTTTTTGGATATTTTTAAAACAAAATTGGGGCTGAAAAGTTGACGACCTGTGTACTAGCTTTCTCGTGTACTTGCTTCCCGATTTGAGAGTGAACTGGTGTATTTTTCCTGATTTTTTTTTAAAGGCCAGTTTGTATACCAGCACGTTTATCGTCATAACTTACAGTTACATCCACTTTGTGCTTTCCATCAGAAAGCTTGGGCCTGCGAGCAAGCTCTCCGTTTGGGGTATTCGTGAGACGTCACGCGCGTAAGCACTAGGGTCGAGATTGCACTCGAAAGAACACGCGAGTGCGAGGAGGGCGTCCGCTCGCAATTAATGGCGAGCAAGCTTCAGCACCAGAGACGGCGTCGGCGCGAGAACGTCAACTGAAAAACTGAATTGGCGCCGTTTCAAACTTCATCGCTTTTATTGCATCTCATTAAATTTGTCATTATATGATGGTGAGTTTTTCTGAAATTAAATTGTTAAGGACGGTATTCAAGTTCAAATAAAGAGAAATCGACATTTCTCCTATGGTGGTTAAAGCCCTCCAAAAAATGTGAAATTGGAACATTTAACGTCCATCTTAGGCGTTTTGAGATGGCAAAGAAATGTTACTGTGATGCACCAGAAATCCTTTGCTTTTTTGACGTTCCCGTTGTCGTCACCGTTTTTTACGTTTCTAACTATTAAAATAAACACGCGCGTTTTCTTCGGGGACTGTAATTAAGTCAGTTAAAAAAGGGAGGAAAAATTTGTCGTTATGTGTTCATGCCCTTTGTAAAACGTCACTTTTTAGAATTTGTCCACGTAGGTGACAGCAAAGAAACCTACCAGGAGCGTGATGTACTTTCGGAGTTGTTGTTCAGCATACTAAACCCATGGCTTTTTTATGTGTTCGTTGCCGCTCCTTTTTTTAACTACAACTTCATTGCCTAACCACACTCTTGAATTTCAATAATTTCAGGGATTTATGTGTCCATTATGTTCCTAATCTTATGTACGTCTTGTTTATGACGCCTCGAATCATGAACGCTGCCTCTGTTAAAAGAGCGAATGCATGAAATTAAGAAAAAACGATTGCAAGTTGTAGTATTTTTAAAATTGGACTCTTCTTTTATTAACACCTTCACTGAACACAAGTTAATGTCTGAACTATTCCCTAGCTCTTATGGCAACAGTCAAAGCATAAAAAACAGAGGCGCGCACAATCTCCTACGGCCGCGTCCGAGAGGTCCGAGCAACGTCCGATTGACAGTTGGCTCACGGTACTCTTTAAAATCACCCGGGGGCTCCTCTCTGTTAACTCTCACGGGCTTCTGCGCCCTGACATGCGCAGGACCCGTCACTCGCACTCGGAAATTTCATCCCGCTTCAAACTAGCCTGTCCTCTGAGTATCTATCCTTTTTCTCAAGAACAATTATTCAGTGTAACTATTTGTCTGCCTCTGTCTTAAGCGAACACTGCCCTTTTGATACTTTCAAGGCCCATGTAAACTGCCTAAATCACTTACCTGTTTAATAGCCTATTAAGTTAACTTTTTTTTGTTTTTGTTTTTCTTTACTTCTATTTTGTTGTTGCTGGCCAACCCAGCCAATAATCCTCAAATGTGAGGTGTACGCTGTAAACGGTAAATGTAAATGAGTGAGACCTGGTTACGAAAATATACCGCACGCACCCAAGAAAACCAAGGTCCCCAATCAAATAGAATTCTTCTTCATTGCAGTTTTTTTAGTCTGTCATGGAAAATAAACCCGCATCTGCAGGTTTGAACTTTTTTCGTATGTGGCATGTATGTCTTGTTCGCAGTTTTGGATTCAGCCCCGTTGCGTTAGATCTGTATAGTTCTCTTAAGCGATTGGTTTCTTTGCTCGTAATCCATATTCATGAAAAATGCGAAAAGTGTCACATTCCAAATCAGGTCCCATTTGAATGAAAGCGTTGTAGTTGTCGGATGAGAGAGAATTTGTCTTCAAAAAAAGGGCAACGAGAGAAATTTAGAAGGCGAAATGAGGGGAGAAGTCTTCAAACTAGTTCAGTGGAAGGTAAGCGAACTGGTTTCAATGAATACTGCCTAAATTTTGGGCGAAAACTGAAATAATTTGTGTTTAATTCAGAACTGAAGAGAAGGGCGAAGGAGTTAAACAAGGGAGTGGAAGATAAGAAGTAAAGAGAGAATTCAGAGAGAGAAGAACTAAAGGTAAGCGCAGTTTCAAACGAATTTTTTTAAAAACTACAAGAAATTTTGGTATTTTAGCGGTGACATGGCCAAAATGTGCACCTATGTGGTCATTTTTTTGTACTGCACATAGACACGCAAAACCGCTTGTAATTTGCTTCTTTTGGATTGATGAAAAAACTTTGCAGTTTATGCGACTACGCATAAGCAATTGCGTAAGTCGAACATTTATGCGTTAGAATGTTTTAGAACCTGTATAAAATTTGCCAATTTTTTTTTCCTTCACTCCAATGTACGAACTAAAGCAAATAATCAGTTAAAAATCAGTTAATTTAAGCAGAAAATATAAGTCAAATGAACATGTCCACCTTGCTAATCAAACTTTTATTTCTTTTTTTCAGATTACCATCACACGATGTGGAAGATACTGGGGAAGAGGAAGGAGTGAAATATCTCAATAGAAGGATAAAGGACAAATACAAGACTTAACAAGGAGAAAACGCTTCAAAGATAAGAAATTTGAAATTTTAATAATATTAACAAAATGGTGGCTGAAGGTGATAAATACGCAATTTTCTAAGGGAATGTAACACCTAACATGCAGCGGAATTGCCAATTGGCTTCAGGGTATTGAGGTTAGCAAAGACACGTCGAGCGCAGAAACTATATTTATGCGCTAAATCAGTTTTTATCAGCCACCATTTACGTTTAGTTTAGTTACCAAAAGGAACTGAATGTTATGCGTCTAAAATATCATTTCAGTCAAAATCATAAGCTGTACACTACTGATTTTACAAACACAAATACGTTACAATGGAGAAAATAATTATCACACTATTGGATTTCGCCCACAGACTAAAAAGCTAAAGTTGTCGTGAATAACACGACAACAAAACAACAATACAGCAAGCACTGTTGTGCTGGAGAATGATCAAGCTCGTTTGAACGTTAATGCACTCAACTGCTAACAAGGATCTTACTCACAGACTCGAAAGTTAGAAACACAAATTGTATTTTAAAAATTGACTCTAAGAGCAAGGGTTGCGTAGAAATTTTGAGCGATCTCGCTATAGCTATCTATTAATAGTTAACGTTTTTTTTTCTCAAACCAAAATCCTTTAGCTTGATATAATTCCTTCGAAAAAGCACCATTATTATTTTTAGGTAAATTGTCAAATGCTTTCAGTAATGCTTAGTTTTTTTGGACGTCACAGCTCAAGATCTCTTTTCGTCAGTTCCTTTTGGTTGTTATAACGACGGTGATGAGAAAGGGAAAATTACTTGAGTGGCAATGTGAGGCTATATAAAAAAAATTCATGTCACAAATGGTTGCTATGGTGCAAGAATATATCAAAAATGCAAATTGCTTCGCCCTAAGATTTCAAATTCAATGCTAAAATCTAAGACATGCTTTTTGGAGAGTTTTACGAATTGTGAGGATTAATAAGACTTGTTCGACGGTGCCACCATATTAATATTACCTTCTCTGCATCATCCAACTACAAATTAGTCATCCTATAAGAGAGCAGATATCTCTACAACGTTGTAACGTTCTTTAAAATAAACAATGAGGGGTGGAGGGTTGGGGTAAGGTTTGACAACACGAAAAAATGTCGTACTCGAAGGGTCTCTGTTCTTTTGTCGGTAGCACGAGCTTAACTGATAAAACCCTCATGTCTGGATTAAAACATTCCAATTCAGGTTATACAGACCACATAAATAAAGTATTTTGTATCAAAATCGTTCTTCGAGTTCACAGAGTCTGAAACGACATGGCATAAGTAGTTTTGCCAGATTATTTCAGCCATTTTAAAAGCCATGTTTAAGGCTAGTTAATCTAAAAAAGATTCTTAAGGCGTAGATTTTTTTTCAGTTTTTCTTTCACTTGTCTTAGTTCGAGTTGATGAACTTATGCTTCTCCTTTGCTATTCTCTGAACATTCTTTTGGGAGAAAAAATTGTCAGTTAGCAATGGCTTTGCAAAATTTTAAGAGAACAAACATGGCTTTCACTAGAACTCAGGTTTAAAACAGCGACATAGATGCTTTTAATTTTTCTTTATCCTTGAGTAATAATGTAGGAGAGTAACACTGAAATTCGAATTTCTGGATTGAATTTAAAAAAGAAGAAAGATCACATTTGGAATAAAAATCTGCTGCCAAAGAGGCATCTAATTACGCATGAACCGGCCGTGCTGACCAAGTTTTGAGTGTCACAGACCTTGATGCACAAGAAGATAAGGTGAACAAAGTTTGACTGAGTCATTCCAGTTTTTCCTAAAAAAAAAAGTCATTATTCCAGTAGCAAAACGAACAATACGTCTGGCAGATAACACAATTGGTCTCGATTAATCTTTATACGATCCAAAATTCCAAGCCAGAAAAACGAAACAAGCATTTCGATTACAAGGTAGCTCTTTGGCCATTGTTGATTACATTATTATTACTTTCCGCAACAAGACTTTGCAAAATGACTGGATATGACTTGTAATTGCATCTAAGGTACAGAAATAGCATTTGAAATAAAGAAACAGAAATAACATATTGTTCATGCACAAAAATGTTTTTAAGTTACCCGTGAGTTTTACAGGTTCTTACACCGAGGATAAGCCGAATTTTCCTCGGCAAAACAATCTAATTTTACAGAAAACGGTGTCTGGCGTAGAATTCCAGGACTTTTTAAGATTATACGAACCATGCGTATTACCAAGTAAGTTTTTGTTAGTAGCAGTTTAGAGGCACTATGGAAAATATTCAGCAACTTGATCCAAAATTCTAAGACATAAAAGCAAAACAAGAATTTCGATTAAAAGTTACCTCTGAAATGGCAGATCTAATTATTCTTGGAAAAATTCCTTAGAAATGGATTAATCATCTGTGCTTAGTTTAATTCCTTATGGCGTATATATTACCAAGCAATTTATTCATACAAGTTTTTGCTAGTAGCAGTTTAGAGGGACTACAGAAAATATTCAATAACTTCATACGAGAAAATTTATGTCCTCAACTGAAAGTTGAAAAAAATTTTGTCACCAAATTTTCACCTCAATTTTAGCAAAAAATAATGTAAAGGAAATTTTCAGTGGAGGAAAAACAATTATAACTACATTGAAAATAACAAGAAAATAGAAAAAAAAAGCTAAAGCAAATTTGTCTTTAATGTGAACAAATATTAAAAAAATGCCAAACACAAATAGCAAAAATAACAAATTAAGCAAAATAGAAGGGTTAAAAATCAGAGAGAAAAAGGGGAGCCCTCGAGAAAGTTACGATGTTAGCTTAATTTACAAAAGTATCGAGAATTATCTCTACAACATTGAAAAAAATGCTACCAAAACTCGCAAAAATAAAAAAATTTAGTAAAAGAAAAAACTAATAAATTGAAAAACTCAAAGAAGGCTGTGTATTTAGCAAGAATTTGTCTTGCAATGCAAAACAAACTTGCTATCGAGAATCGAAGAAAAAAGCCACGATAACAAATTTAGCAAAATAAAAGAATTTAAATTTTAGAGAGGAAAAAGGGCCCTCGAGAAGGCCGCGAATTTAGAAACTGTTGAAAAAGTACCAAGAATTTTCTCTGTCTTGTGAAGACCTTGATGGGAAAAAGTTGCACATGTAGTAAGAATTTTGATTTGTAGAGAGTATTATTTGGTTTTTTTGGAACAATTTTTCATTTCCTTGCTGTTTCTGTTCTGCATAAAATTATTAACGAAATCTGCTGGCAAATTCACTTTGTTACAGCTTACAGTCCTAAACATGAATGTGTAGTCACGGTGTTTAGGGTGAAGGTATGCTTCAGCAAACAGTTTCTTTTTCAAAACTTAAAATAATTTATTTATCTTAGTTCTAAAACATCAGCTTTTTAATCTTTCAACATTAACTTTCCAGATGCATTCAAAGACATCGAAAAAAGAACTTGAAACCGAAACAATTAAAATAAAACAAAAACTAAGTCAACTACGCTTTTCATCAAATTCAGTTGAAAAGGATCATGAATTTTGCTTATAATAAAAAGCAGCCTCTCGTCAAATTGAACTTAAAATTTATTTTTGTAACAAAGCAAGGTAAAAGAACACACAAAACCGATGGTCAAAAACGGCCCTTTCCTGTCGTGCGCCATTTTGAATAATTATTACGTCATTTGACCGCTGCAATCGTTCCCTTGGCTCTTGGCAATAGTAACAACGAAAAGCAGCGTTATTGTTTTGAAAGCTTGTAAAAAATTTAAGAGAGATGGCCGACAAAAATTCTAGAGAGATTTTTCTAACCATTCACACAATTTGTTCCTTCGATTTCCGATCTTTTCCGATGGTTTGGAATAAAAATCTGCTTCGATAGAGGCATCTAATTAAACGTAAGCCAGCTGTGTTGACCAAGTTTTGAATGTCATAGACCTTGATGCAAAAGAAGCAAGTTTGACTACGTCATTCCAGTTGATGAATTTTATTTTTCCCCGAAAATTCTTTCGGTTAAAAAAATTGCCAATTATCTGTGGTTTGAAAAATTTTTAGCAAAACAAACATGGCTTTCAGAAGAACTCAGCAGGTTAAAAAGGGCAACATGTATTTTTGTTTCTCATTTTTCGTTGTCCTGGAGTAGCAGTATCAGACAGCAACATCAGTAGAAAATTGAATTTCTGGATAAATTTTTTCAAAGAAAATGAAGAACCACGTTTCGAATAAAAATCTGCCTCGAAAAAGGCATCTAATTAAAAATAAACGAGCTGTTTTCACCACGTTCTGAGTGTCACAGACTTGAACGCAAAAGAAGAAAAAGTGACCAAAGTTTCAATACGTCATCCCAGTTTTCCTTTAGTAGAAGAAGAACTCATTAATCCAGTTATTAAACGAACAATATGTTTAGCAGGGAACGAAATTAGCTCTCGGTCTGTCTTTATTTGTTTTAAGTTACTTAGGCAAAAACACAAAGCAAGCATTTCGATGAAAAGTTAGCTCTGAAATTGATGAACCAAGTAATTTTTTTAGAAAAATTCCTTCAAAGATTACCAAGCACGTTGGCCATCGAATTTTCGCCATAATTTCAGCAAAAAAAAAATGGCAAAAATAAAACAGAATTCATAAAAAACGGAAAAAAAAACACAACTTGGAAAATTCTTCTCGGACGTGAAAAACTTGATGGCAAAAATAAAATTGCACAAATAGAAAGAATAGTATATCAGAAACGAAAAGGGGCCATCAAGGAGGTTGCAATTATAGATAAAATTACAAAAATAACAAATTTAGTGAAACTTAATTGAGAAAGTCAAAGAGGGTCCCTTGAAAGGGTCACGTAATAAACAAAAATTGCAAAAGTAACAACAACATATTTTCCTGTTAAAAGTGTATTCATAACCAAAGATGGTACTGTTTTTCAGTCCGTAGCTTTTCCTTAATAGATTGGAACAATTAATCAATTAATTAATTGTAATTTTACGCACTAAGAAGAACTACCAATTTCCAGACGATAAAAACTCTCACAGTTTCAAAATTTTAAGGCATAAGACAAAAGACAAAAATGGTTTACATGATATCTACTGTGATCCTTTATTCTGTATGTGTGCCGGCATCTTGACAGAGTTGAAGTGGTGGTACATAATGATTTCAAAAGGATAAAACTAATCATGGAACATACATGATCGGCTATCAATTGGACCAAACTTGAGTTAGAGATGCAAAATGTTTTCCTCACAACTAGATTGTCAAAAAATAAAACTGAAAATTGTAAAGCTGTTCAATAACTTTTGGCAATTTTGCGTGACATGAAATCAAAGTACGTTTACATTAGTTCAAGTGTTTCAGCACCGTCTCCAAGTAGTCAAGACTGAAATTATGCTGCAATATTTTGACAAAAACAAGAAGATTCAAAGTACCGACTCTTCTACTGTTCCAACTTTTTCACTATTAGATTTTCCCTCAAAAAAAATTTTATAATAGGGCTATTTAATAAATTTTTGCAATATGCGTCCATCTGGACGAAATTGTTTAACATATTTCATTTCCACTCACACGTGCAAACTCGTTACCTTTGTTCTCGACTTTATTTTGTCACCTCATCATGGCGACATGGAAACGTCGTGTGAAACTCTTTCCGCTTATTTTTATTCTTGAATATTAGGTTATTTCGAGTGATGATCATAGATGTTTGAAAAATCGGTGGATAGAAAGCAACTCAGCATTTCGTTGATCTTGTTTCCTTACAACTCGTGATATGATTAACAAAACATCCATTTTCTTGGTTGAACATTTTGTCGTTCGGCGTTAATTTGATTATGTGGTCTGTCCAAGTTTTATTCAATTCACTTTTTGATTAATCAATACAAGCAAATTTATTTTCATTTTAAAACCAGACAATGGGTTTTATGCTAGGTTATTATTATTAGTTTGGTAAAAGGCTTATTTCAGTGAACAATTCACGTGGCACAGGAAAAATATCTAATAATGGGGGGTGATAATCACTTTTTTTTTTTTTCAATTATGGTGGGGACGGTTTGCGGTTTGAAACTATAGAAAAACTTGGGTGTACAGCAAAGAGAAGCAAATGCTTACCGAAAGAAACGTATCATAGGGGAATTTTAAAATTCTGCAGTTTAAAGTTTACTTTTGTCGGTTCCTGTGCTATGAATATGAATTGTGTCAGCTGAAATAGGTGTCAGTAGAAAATTTTGTTGCACGAGGTGGCGTAAGAGGCACCTTGGCAAGCTATAAATCTGTTTTTAAAAAAAAAAAACATAGAATTACAAAAGGGAGGGAAACTTTCCAAAAAGCGATAAATTGTCGCAAGGAAAATATTTTATTTTTTTTCTCAGAAATATTTCGTTTGGCTTTAAATCTTTCGAGTAGATTCGCATTTTCTGTCTTTCACACTGAGCTTTTTCCAGCTTGCCATTTTTGCTTCTAACTTTTAAGATCAAGTAATACGAGCAATAATTTCCTGTAACTTGTCGCGCACAAGGCTACGTTGCAAGGCAAGATGTGGTTTGTTGCGCTTACTACCTTCTACCCGCTCAGCAAAATTTCACGCTGCAAAGAGTCGAAGTCTCTTCTACCCTTGGCAACACGAAAACTAATTGAACGGGTGGATGGTAAAGCACACAGATTCAGTTTGTGTGTTTTACCGTCTACTTGTTCAACTTATATTCGTAGAGCAAAGGATAGAAGAGGCTTCGACTCTTTTCAGCGTGAAAATTTGCTGAGCTGGTAGAAGGTAATATACGCGCAACAAGTCGCACCTTGCCTTGCAAAGTAGCCTTGTGCGCGACAAGTTATAGGAAATTATTGCTCGTTTTACTTGTTTTTAAGCTTGTGCAAAAAAGGAAATTTTGGGAAGTTTCACTTAAAAAATTTTGCAGGCAAAGTTGTATTAAAGTTTTAGCTGAAAATTTTTAAAGGCATGTCTTGCATATTTTTGTCTCGAAAATATTGTCAGGGGAAACGCTGTGCAAATTTGCTCAGATTTTCCCGCCAAAAGACTTAGTATATTTTTGATGAAAATAATAATAAATAAAAGACAGTTAACGTAGAACAAAGTGTTGAGTGCTTTATTGTATTGTAATAATAGTAGGAGGAAGAAATAAAAGACAAGTTGAAAAATGTTTTATTAGTATTAATAGTAGTTGAAATAAACAAACTTTTATATTTTTTTAAAAAAATACGACGCATGCGCCGTGGGCGCGCCGTATTTTTCTAAGTCTTCTGGAGCCACATTCCAATCATATTTTCGTGAAGACAAGAAATTAACATAAAAATTTATCTAAACAACAATAAGATTTTCAGAAAGAAATTGCGCTGCATAATTTACCAAGGCGTCTTTCAGCAAAAATACTTAAAGCTTGTTCCTGAATTTGAAATCTTAGCCGCTTCTTAAAAAAAATAAAGAAGGTCTGAATGGAGAATTGAAATTTGTACGTTTAAACATTTACACCGCGAGTACACCAAAAACAATTAGACTTAAATTTCCGCAAAGACAGAAAAACAAACGATGCTATAGAACAGAGCGCTTAAAACTAGGAAACGCTGTGAAATTTGAACATATCAATTGTGTAAAAGATCGCAGGAGATCCAAATAGCTCGGTTAATTTTGCTTGTATGGCAATAGAAATAGCTTGCACACTCGAAAGCAATTTGCTTCCTACCACAATACAAACACAATCAAATTAACCACGCTATATCTTTGCTGGTAGAAAATAAATACGTTCAAATCTACAAAATTTCCCGATCTCCGGCGCTATTTTCTGCAGTATTGAACGTTCGTCTGTTTTGGCAGAAACTCAAATCCAGCAATGGCGATCCCGTTCTTTCTTAAAAAGTGAAAAGTAATGTTGCATCGTGGGCTGATTTCCTGAGCAATTGCTTAAGCCGTTTCCAATAATGTGGCGACCATTGCATATTTATCAGCTTAAACTAGTGTGTGTTTGTTTGTTTGTCAATCAAAATTCTATTTTATTTATTTTTCGAATTGTTTTGGATTGTTGTTCATTTAGTTTAAATAATTGCTCAAAAAAACTTTCACCTTAAATTGTCAAGAGCCCTCTTCTATAAGAGGTACTGTTTTTGCGATAAAACTGATTCAAAACTCATGATTAAAATTTGGCCTAATGTGCAGCCACTAACAATAGAATTTCGCATACAGATCATCAAGGTCTTAAATTCTCATGTAAACCAGGACTTAAAATAGTTGACGTTACAAACAATTTTTTTGCTCAATAAAATATACTTTGCAAAACTGATTCGAAATATTTTTGACGTAAAGCTTTTGGAAATTTTAACAGGCAATTTACTTTTGAACCTGATCATGTTTTATTGGGCTTCCCTGATCATTTTATTGGCTCTGATCTTGTCTGTTTCTTTCTTCTCACCAACGATTTTTAATTTTTTTAAAACACGTTTTTGGTCATCTCCAATCTTTTCCGGGCAATTAAATAAGTCGATCATCTTTGGGCTCCTTTGCCTTGAAACATCGTGACAGAATTGTAAAAAAAAACACTGCAGCTGCTTACCCTACGAGCAGAGGTTCAGTCTCTCTTGCATGGCTTTAAGCGTTTACAAAGTCGTTCGCGTGGCCTGTCTATCGCGTAGTTGGTTTGTTTACAATGCGACACACAAGCCACGCGAATGACTTCGTAAACGCTAAAAGCCATGCAAGAAAGAAATTGACATTCACTAAATTTAGCTTACTTCGCTCTACAATGAAGTCAAGGTCGCACAAGATTGACAACTGCAATAAGCTTTCACTGAGACAATCAGTCATGATGCATCCACTCAGACCTTCTTCAATACTTGACCTATTTTTTCGAGAAAGAAAGTTTAAATATCTACACTTGCCACCTTTACTTCCTCCATCAAATCTTCCTTTTACTTTGATAGATGTGTAGTGAAGTTCTTTGACATTCCTGCGTGTTCCTTGATCCTCGCTGCGAGGCTCCTGCCTTGATTCACTGTACAATCTATACATCAATCTGCTCACCTTTCTGCAAGGAAATCGAAGGGAAAAAATGAATAAATACTTGTCTATTCATGTCATGTTTACTGATACTTTTTACCACTGTACAAAAATATACTCCAACTAATAATAACAATCATCATCATAAAAAAAAGACTATATGTAAAAGTATAGTAGGTAAAGGAAAGCAATAGGGAGAAACTGAATTCCCATATAAAAAATGCCCTCCAAAACTAAAAGATAATACAATTAAAAATAGAATATCTAATATATAGCTATACATTATGTAAGGAAAAACGAAAAAGATACAAGAGGAACTACTTAAATAATTTACAAAAAAAAAAGAAACTCCAAATATGGTAAGAAATAATAAAATAATTATGGCTAATTACAAAGATAATTAAGTTATCACGTTTTAAAAGAAGACGTACCATTTAGATAAAAAAAAGCATTCAAACAGAAGGAGAGGGGCCTGTATTTTCGACAATAATTCTCTAAAAAGTAACTGACACAGTTTGAAGAAGTAATCACTCATTCGATCTGCTTAATTCTTCATATCCTACTCAGCCTCATTCATTAATTGCTCATTAAGTACACGGAAACTGATGGCAAGTGTGTTTGGCTAAGTAAGGCTAGGAAAGCATATTCAGTATACATAATATTTGAATGCGTTCGTCAAGCATTATGTTTTCAAGCTTGACAATGTGGCTTGCTAAAAAAATCGTCAAAACCTTTCATGGAATGCTGACACATTGTTGATTAAACTCACGTGTTTGTCTTATGGTTGTAAAAGCTTGCTCAAGTCTTAAGCACTTTTTGAAAGACTAATGTATAAGTAAACTACTGAATAAGTCAATGACTGCGTGCTTCTACTAAACTCTCAAGCTAATATGGTCAATATTTTAGAGTTCAAAATTCGACATCATTAAATACTGCTGCTATCATGGTGTCTTTAACAAGGCTCCCCATGTAAATCAGGTTGCCTGCCCTTGAATACTAGAAGGCTCTACGGAGAAAAATTTTGAAAATGTACAAAGAGGCCTCAGCTATCTAGATCTGTGTACACAAAAGATTATCATTTACCCATTTCATGGAACAATATCAGTACCAACTGCTCTGACAGTTACCGATTTCCCTAATAGTTACCCTTACATCTACTTTTAATTGTTTATATATGTAAGGTCAAAATGGTGCGAAACTAATCGAACAAATCACAAGTATTCTTTTTCAGCATTTTGAATGTGCAAACCAAGCATAACAGAGAAAAAATAGAACTGCCTAACGAACTTCATTTGGAAGATTTAAAGTCTTGCGTAAAAAGAGTCTTCCGCCTTATCGTGAACCATGTAAATTCAGTAGGGAAAAATTTCATTGACATGTTGTTCAATTATTGATGATGGAAGAATGCAAATTTAGCTCACTTACACTCGTGCAGGTGTTTTCCATCCTCCTGGTTTTTCAGTTAATTGATGCTATTCACCTAAAAGGACAGAAACGCTGTGTTAAAATTATACATTCAACTCTCTCCAAGAAGCTGGATACAACTGCATGGACTAGAAGTAGGGAAGTAAGGTCCGTCTTAGAGAGGTGTCCAGCTAATATTAGTCAGAATTGATCAATGAAAATGACTTGAAAACAGCAGGGACAATCTATCCATGTCCATTTTAGGGAGCCGTCTGTATTTCAGCGAGCTGCAGAAAAATACAAATGACCAACTTCCCGGACACGTGCCATTTATGGGTCAAATCATTAGATGGTCCCAGCACAGGGAAGACAAGTAAAGGTCGAAACTATAATAATTCTTTTTGTTGTACTGATCATTTGACTCAATAGTCACAAGTGGTGTGATTTATTTTTCATCTATTTCTGCGATTAAAAGATTACAAAACAGTATATGAAACTATTCTGATACTAACCTGTCATACAGGACCCTTTCATGTTAGTGCCTTTTAATATGTCCCACGGTTATGACTGAGAACATTGTAACTTGAGGAGTCCAGCTTACCTGTTATAACTGTAGGAAAGAAAAGTATTAAGTTACATCACACAAATCTCCCTCTTATATGATGATACCCTTAAGTTAAAGGAACAGCTGAGCGAGATGCTTAATGACTTAATGTCAGGCATCATCTCAATGTTTTTCACATTTTAAAAAGTAAAGAGTTTGACACTCAGCTGAATATAGATGATAGCTGATGAAACTATATTAACAACATCAGCAATGTCGGGAGCAATGTATTGATGTGGGAAAGACGCTCTACTAATTGAGGACACCAAAACAAAGTTATAAGGCCGTCTATACTGCTGTGAGAGATTGCTATGATAAATATACCTAAAAAAATTTATTGACATTCTAACTTGGCAAAACAGACACAAAAGCAAACATAAGACTAATTAGTCCATTAAAAACTCAAAAGACAACTGAGGTATGTAATTGCTCTGGCTTCCAAAGGAAACACCCAAGCTGTAAAACAGACTTCGTTTTTTGTTCTGGCACAAATCACCCTCTGACATCTTCAGCCCACGCACAAGATATAAGAGTATGCTAAAAAAAATAAGCGGACTCGAGCAGAGCACATGGCTTCCTGTCTGGGGTAAAAAAAGCCATCTGTCTTTGTTGTTTTGAAACTCAGTGATTGCAAAAATAAATTGTGTCATTTCTTATAAGCAGTAGAAACGCACACCTTTCATTAGTAGACCAAAAGTGAAAAGATGGGAATGCCTCCATGTAATTAAGCCTAGTTGCTTTGCAGAGGAAGAAACATGAATCAAACTGAGTACCTCAATTAGCTTGGGTATCTTGAAAACAAAGACCCCCCACCATTTTTTTTACATATTTTTTTCGGGGTTACTCCTTTCCCCAGTAGCCTCCAACCCCGGAAAGATTAGCTTTTTCTAATGGAGGCGGGAGACCACTCTTGTAATTTTTCATGTACAATAGATGAAAAAGTTTAAATATAAAGCTGAAGTCTTCCTTTTGAACCCACCCTTCTTTTTGATACCATCTCAATAGCTCTTCTTGTTGTACAGTCTGTATTTTTGTGTATTCAAGTACGCGCGAAAAGTTAAACAAAAGGTCTTGACCAAGGCTGAAAATGGAGAGTGAGACAGGGGAGAGACACTAAAAGTACGGGTCACTGTCTGTTTTGCATACGTTATATTTGTTTGAATTACCCGCTTCTTCGAGCCACAAGCAGTTCCCACTGGCTAAAGTTTGATGCAAGCTGTTAACAAGCTGTCAAATTATGTTTCCAACAAGTCATTCGCCATGTTCCCTCCTGTAATTAATTCATTGCCTGTTGGCATGTCCAGTTTTTCTCTAATTTGCGAAAGCATCGCAGCACAGGTTTAACCTTTGTTCTGCACAGCGATAAAACTCTTGTGGAGAAAGATTCTTATTCATCGACGACAATGAAAAGTTCGTTTATTAGAAGGTCGGCCAGCTTTGGTAACACTTCACCTTTTTCTAGTAGGGGCAAGAAACATATTTTCAGAGCTTATCCATCCACTCTTAAAATCGCTGAACTGTGTTTTGAAACAACAGCCGCACATTCTACAATTATCTGAAGTGATTGGCTCGGGTTTCTCCCTCTTTGAGGAACAGGAACAGACTTTGTCAGCATACTGCCACTTCCACTCATTTATTGACCTTCCAGAAAACACTACATTGTACACAGAAACAATGCTCAAGACTGCTTTGGAATTACTTGAGATCAATTATGTACAACTTTCAACACAATGATTTGAAGCCAAGTGCAAACAATAACACACACTGTTCTCTTGCGAAAACAATCACCAGGTGCATCAAATTTACAAAGAGGGTGGAGTTGTGAATACATTTTTTACAGCTCGACGACAGTTTTGAACCCTTGGTCAGAATGAACTCATTGTATGGAAAACGGTGAGTCAAATGTTTTCTCTTGCCTCACACTACCTCGCATAGAAAGCAAACTGCACATGAATATAAATACAGTCAAACTCGGTTAATATAGACACTGAGGGGGCCATAGAATGTGTCAGTATTAATAGCAAGTCCACATTAAGCAGGTTGAATTTAGAGAAAATGTAGGGGCTTTCTTTCCCCAGGGACAAAGCAAACTGTCTAAAATAAAGACATGAAGTATCCATATTAAACAGGTTGAATTTAGAGAAAATGTAAGGGCTAGAGACAATGAAAACTGTCCATAATAATGAAGTGTTCATATTAAAAGGACGTCCATACAGCGGGGTTCAACTGTAATGAACATCCAAGACACCTATGAACCAAGGTTTGTAGATTTGTTAATAAGATGGTCGCAACACATGGACAAGTGAAGTGGTGTTGTGAGCTGTTGTACTGATCCCCCTTGACCATGACAAACTTAGGGCCTGTTTAAATGGAGATGGGGGACCCCAGATAGGTGAGGTAACATGCCACAGGTCACCCCACCTATAATGTAAATGTGATCAAATCAAAATAAGACATCATATGGCCAGGCAGGTTATCCCACCTAAGCGGGTTACCTCACCTCCCTACGGTCCCCCATACCCACGTAAACAGGCCCTAAAAATATGTGGGATATAATAATATTTCTGATACTAACCTGACATATTACCAGACTGAGTTGTAGCTTGAAGAGTGTGGTCATTCCCTGTTTCTGCAAAAAAAGTGAAAAGGATCAAATACACTGTCTGTTGATAACATAAAATTTATGGTTCTGTAGACTGCGAAATGCCAATGGCAGCAACAACAGAAATCCATTTATTTTGGGCTTCTGAGCCATGGACAAATTGCCTTATCATAACTCAGAGGGATTTCAAAGGTTTCTACTATAATCCCATCACTTGAAACCCAATCCTGATGGTGATTTTTGACATCACAAATCCCATGCATACTTTAATATACCGCATCCGGGTCTTTTAATGGGGTGCCCAATGATGGTTTCCTCCTTAATATATTAAAAACACCTTTTAGACTATCCAGAGTAATTTTAGATCTCTAGAAATGCATTCTAAGCAGCGCTATAAAATTTGCATCTGCTCAGTCCTCCTAGGAAAATTTGAGTCTT